CCAAGTGGACCTCATACAATATGAGTTTCATGATTGGGGCCGTTAACCTGGTGCAATCAGGGAGCCCTGACAGGGGTTCTGCTCACTCTCAGAGCCAGCTCTAAGCTAGCTTGGGAAGTATCATGTACTATGTATGTGTAAATAAAGGATGACTTGGTGACAGGATACTGGCCTTTGTGGAGTTATTTCAGGTTCCTTTTGCTGAATACATTTCCATAGGTGCTGACTGCAATCTGTCTGTTTATTAAATCATTGCCATGATTACATGCATTCAATCAAAATCTACTTTTCATGGTAAAATAATAATTAAATTATATCACCTCAAATTTTTTGTCAGAAATTACCACATAAGAATGTTGCAATAACACTTTCACAATTTATTTTAATACAAACTGCATCCAAATGAACAAAATGGCTTGCTGGAAATTATTTGGAGAAGAGCGTTCCCGTTAGAGGATCTTACATTTGTTCAACAAAGTTTGATTATAATTTACTGAATGGTATCCATATTATTAATAGGACAAATGCCAATCCAATGGCAAAACAGAACTTTTGCATGACCGTATTATTTAAAACTGAGTAAGAATATACAGGACCCAAATAATTTTGCCAGCTATATATATATATATATATATATATATATAAAAGTTTTTTTCACAAAGTAAGATACTAAAGTAGCAACTGAAAAATAAGTTGTTCTGATTGAATTACTTGAAAGCTGCAGAGTCACATCGTGGTGCAGTAAGTATGGGTCACAGACATTTTTTCAATGGATTTTTTTTTAAGAGAGAAGCAGAAATAAACGTTTCCTCAAAAGAAGGTGTTTCAATTTCGTAATGTGCCAGTCTTCATACAATTTGACCCACTGCACATGACACTAAGAAATGCTTGATGGCATAGAAATTTACAAAGGCTATGGGCCCTGACAACTAGCTAAGCTTTTCCAGTTCAGCTAAAACAGTGGCATCCATCCAACAGGGTGAATGTTTTTCTTTATTATTCATTCAAGGGAATGTGGGTATCACTGGCCAGGCCAGCATTATTGCCCATTTCTAATTGCACTGGGGTGTTAGCTGCTTTCTTGAACTGCTGCAGTTCTTGGTATGTCGGTCCACAAAAAGCAGGAAAAATGCAACTCAGTCAATTACTGCCCCATCAGTCTACTTTCCGTTATCAGTAAAGTGTTGGAAGTCTGTCAACAGTGTCATCAAACAACACTAGCATCATAATTACCTGCTTGCTGGTGCTCAGCCTGAGTTCCACCAGGACTACTTGGTTCCTGGCCTCATTAGAACTTTGGTGCAAACACGGACAAAATAACCGAACTCCAGAAATGAGGTGAGGTGAGAGGGACTGCCCTTGACATCAATGCAGTGTTTGACTTAGTGTGGCTTCAAGGCTACCCAGCAAAACAAAGCCAACGGGAATCAAGGGGTAAATTCTCTACTGGTTCAGTAGTATCTAGCACAATGTGAGACGGTCATTGTTGTTAAAGGTCAATCATCTCAGTATCAGGTTATCACTGCAGGCGCTCCACAGGATGGTGTCTAAATATCTTCAGCTGCCTCATCAATGATCTGTCCTCCATCATAAGATTAGAAGTAGGAATGTTTGTTGATAATTGCACAACGTTCAACACCATTTATGACTCCTCAGGTACTAAAGCAGTCTGTGTTCATGTGTACTGGCCAACATTCAGGCTTTCGCTGATGAGTGACAAGTAACATTTGTGCCACAGAACTACTAGGCAATGACCATCTCTAAAAAGAGATAATCTAATCATCTCACAATGACATTTAATGAATCCCCCACTAACAACAGCTTGGAGAAACTAAATTGATCAGTTATATAAATACTGTGACTACTATAGCAGTTCAAAGGCAGGTGAACCCATCGCCTGAACCCCCAAGCCTGTCCTCCATGTTCACATCAAGGGTGTGATCAAATACTTTCCATGTGTCAGGATGAGTGCATTTCCAACAACACTCGAGAAACTTGACACTATCCAAGACAAAGCAAACCACCATCTAAAGCATTGAGAGACAGAAGCACCAGAGAAATTGGCAGCATTGTGTACATATTAGGGGAGGCGATGGCCCAGTGGTATTATCGTTAGACTGTTAATCCAGAGACCCAGATAATGTTCTGGGAATTTGGGTTTGAATCCCGCCATGGCAGATGGTGAAATTTGAATTCAATAAATATCTGGAATTAAGAGTCTAATGATGACCACTGTCATCCACTGTCCATTGTTGGAAAAGCCCATCTGGTTCACTAATGCCCTTCAGGGAAGGAAACTGCCATCCTTACCTGGTCTGGCCTACATGCGACTCCGGACCCACAGCAATGTGGTTGACTCTTAACTGCCCTCTGGGATGGGCAATAAATGCTGCCTTGCTAGCAACGCCCTTATCCCGTGAATGAATAAAGGATATACAAGATGCACTACAATAGCATATTTCAACCTGTACTCCTCTTCCCCCCATGGCTTCTATGACCTCGGAGGACAAGGGCTGCAGTTTGTAAGTTGCCCTCCAAACCACCAACTATCCTGACTTGGAATTACATTGCCATTCTTTCACTGATGCTCAGCTAAAATCCTGGGCCTTCCTTTGTAATAGCACTGAGGGTATACCTCATTTCTACCCACCACAGACTGCTATGATTTACTACCTGCTTCTCAGGGGCAATTGGGGATGGGTAACAAATGCCAGTCTAGCCAATGATGCCCTATATCCCATGACTGAATAAAAAAGTTACCATCTGTTTGATAACCTGCTTAAAGATGCAGTTCATATAGTCTCCCTATAATTGTCTCTTTTGCCACTCGATAATAATCGCGCACCAGAACGCAGGTTGAACACACCAAAGTTAACTGTAACTGAACTGGCTGCGGTTCCAATAAAATCGTGTTTATATTTTGGGATGTCACTGTCTGGACCCTAGATGATTCAGAACCGTTGCACGTGCGTTTATCCAGCGGCTAGCACATCATATTCCAAATCCAATACTTTAGAAAGAAATGCATTTTTGAAAATTTAAATTGAAGCGCCGGGGCGTTAATTGAAATGCAGGTCTAAGCAAAGAGCTTTCTGAAAAAAAGAAACTGTCTCACATAGTAAAATAAAATTAAAAACAGAAACTGCTGAAGGAACTCGGCGGGTCTGGCAACATCTGCGGAAAGAGAAAACCAGAGAATCCGATATGACACTGCAGATGCTGCCAGAACTGCTGAATTTTGCCAGCACTTTTTGTTTTCGTTTCAGATTTCCAGCATTTTACTTTTATGTTAACATAAACTTAGCAGGACTTTTAACAATAAACAGTGCAGATTTAAAATGCTGGGGCCGTTCCCTTTGCTCTCATCAACCCCAAAAAAGTGCATTCTGTAATCGCTTTTTGTGCTGCAACTTGCAAGTCAGCTGGAGATTGTCATCTGGGAGTCACTGTCGAAGAGGCTGGTGGCCGGGGAGGGAGCTGCAACCTTTACAGCGGCAGAGATAGAGCTTATTCACATGTGGCCATGTTAGAAAGCCGCAGTCCCGGTGAAGGCAAGTGGGGAAAACATTGCTGCCTTCCCGATTCGGGACTGGCCCAAGTTCAAAGAGACTCCGAATGATTATTCGAGGTGCTGGGAACTTCTGTTTACCTTTTGAGTAAAAATGCCCATGTTATTGTTAAAGAGTTAGGTTGATTTATTGGTCAGGAGAGGTTGATTAAGAATAAAAGTCATTTTAACCAAATTATCAGTCAAGGGAAAGAGAAAGAGAGGTTCATTTTATTGGTAAAGGAATGTTGATTGGGAATAGAAGTAAGTTTTACCATGTTCTGCTTTGGTAAACACCGAGAGCAGGCAGAAAGAATATGGGGTTCCCTTTGTCTGATGATATTCCGAGTGGGTCACCAGAGCAAGGGGGAAGGGAGGTGGTTCATGGGTTTTGCCTTGAGTTGGGGAAGCTGGTGGGTGGTCCGGCCCGAACAAGGGAGCACTGGCTCGCTCACTCTCTCTCTCTCGCACAGGGGAACCTGCGGCGGGGAACGTGGTTTTGCGGCTGTGGCGGGGGCGCGCTGCGTGTGCACGCCGTCCGGGGGAAGCAGCAGCAGCAGCAGCTCTCATTTGTACTGTCGGGGATAGGCCATGTAAACACGGAGCAGTGAGAACATCAGCGGGAGGACTGAGAGAGAGAAAAGAACATGGTCCTGAGGTGAAGAAGGAATCTCTCACCATGATTTATTTAATGCTGCTGTCAGCCGTGGCCGGAGCCCTGTGTGTTCTCCTGCTGCAGATTTTATTGCTGTATCGGAACAAGCCCGAGCCGGTGCCCCGGCATGTGCAGTACGTCAAACCGGTGGTCGAGCCCTCGCTCAAGGACTACCTGAGCGGCGGGAAGGAGCCTCCGGCCGAGAGCTGCCACTTTCTCAACGCCATCTTCTTGTTTCTGTTCCGGGAGCTGAGGGACACCCCGATCGTCCGGCACTGGCTGACCAAGAAGATCAAGGTGGAGTTTGAGGAGTTGCTGCAGACCAAGACGGCGGGCCGCCTGCTCGAGGGCCTCAGCCTGCGCGACATCTCCCTGGGCAACGCGCTGCCCGTCTTCAAGAGCGCGCGCCTGCTGCAGCCGGCCGTGGGCCCCAATCCCGGCCCAGGCCCAGGCCCAGGCCCCGGCTCCCTGGAGGATGAGGCTCCTGGAGGTGCCGCTGCCGCCGGGGGAATACCCGAGGAGCTCAACTTCGAGCTGGAGCTCGAGTACAACGGCGGCTTCCACCTGGCCATCGACGTGGACCTGGTCTTCGGCAAGTCGGCTTACCTCTTCGTCAAGATGAGGAGGGTGGTGGGCCGCCTCAGGCTGCAGTTCACCCGCCGCCCTTTCACTCACTGGTCCTTCGCCTTCATGGACGAGCCTTTCATCGACTTCGAGGTCAAGTCGCAGTTCGAGGGCCGGCCCATGCCCCAGCTCACCACCATCATTGTTAACCAGCTCAAGAGAGTCATCAAGCGCAAACATACTTTACCCAACTACAAAATCAGGTACAGTCACAGTCAGCGGCAGATGGCTTAAACTGTGTTCTTTGTGTGTGTTTGTGAGTGGTTGCTTGGGGGTGTGTGGGGGGCGGAGATGGTGGGGTACGGTGTGGTATTATCCTAGCTGCAACTTTCTGCAATACCCAAATCAGACTTAATGGAGCCCTTACTGCATCGTGCTGCATGCGCCCCTTAGTCATCTCTTGGCACAATCTGTAAGTTACAGAAGGTATTTTTACCAAGCTGCTCTGTTATGGGGGTTTAAAAGAGAAACATTTGTGAGACGTAAGTATCTCTGGCAAATCCAGCATGCCTTGCCCGTGCCCATGGGAGCCACTTTCGTGATCCAGTGCAATCAACACAGAATAGGTATGCCCACAGTGCTGTTAGGAAGACAGTTCCAGGCCACTAACCCAGTGATTACAGTGGAAACCAGAGCATGTGCAGAAACCCATGCGGACAATGGGAGAACGTGCAAACTCCACACCGACAGTCACCCAAGGCTGGAATCGAACCTAGGGCCCTGGCGCTGTGAAACAGCAGTGCTTACCACTGTGCACTCAAATGATATTTTGATTCTTTGGGATTTTGACATCATTACATCATTTGTTGTTCACAAGTGCACTTCAGAGGATAGTTAACAGTCAATCATATTGCTTTGGATCAAAACGCACATGTTTACCAGACTTGGGAAGGACATTAGGATTTCCTTCACTAAATGATTGTGAATTAAATGGAGTTTTCACCATTAGTTTTATAGTCACAATTACTAAGACTAGATTTCAATTCCAAATTTTATGAACTGCATTTAAATTCCACCAGTTTCCATTAGCCTGGTTCTCTGGATTACTAGTTGACTGACATTACCACTGCACTGCTGTCTCTTCAGTCGAGCTTCTTGATATTGAGGGGTTGCTCAAAATGAAGGTGCACCTCAATTATAAGGCAACCTTTTCTGTTGCTGTGCAGTATGACTCATGGCCATCTCTGTAGTGATGTCATGTTTTGCTGTGTAACTTGTATATCGTTGGAAATGTTGTTAACTGCAGTTCGCAGTATGCTATTACCATCAGCTTCTCTATCCAATTGATTCATTATAGTCAGGGGAGCTTTACCAGAATAAGTTTCCAGTTGAGGCATTCAAAATGCTGCTTCTTAGAAGTTAATATTGCATGTGAGTGAGGCAGACCAGATGCAGGTTGAAATAGATTACTTTTATTATACTCGTCTAAGCACTGTGACAACTTGGGGTTGGAGAGGTGTGAGGAGAGGCAACTGGAGTGTTTTGTTTGTCTTATCATTTGTCTGAACTGTTGTAGCTTAGCTCATTTGGCTGGATGCTGGTTTGTTATGCAGTATGATGCCAACAGTACGGGTTCACTTCCTCTACCGTCGAAGGTCGCCATGAAGATCCCGCCTTTTCAATCTTGCCTGAGGTGTGGTAACTTTTAGTCTCGCTCGCTGTCTCTCTCCCTCTCTAATGAGAGAGCAGCCATATGGTCCTCTGGGGCGATGCTGACTTTACCATTACAGTTCATCTGAACACTACACCACTGAGTTGCAATAAACAAAGTAAATAGGATGCAGGATTATATTGCTTAAATGGGATTGAGATCAACTCCTCTCTATGTAAGTTGAATCTGTGGCTTGCCCTAAATAGATTCTGTTGTTGCAGACAATTCTGATCTCCGAGGCATGAAGGACACATTCTGATGTTAGATACACTAAAGGGAAGAGGAATGCTGCTGATACTTGCTGTGAAGCTTCAGAGCTGCAAAAATCCATTTAAAGTAGGACCCTTTAGCCTTGAAATTGATATGGGGGCAGCTTATACTTCGAAAGAAAGTAAATCTGAAACAATGCTGTCAGAGAAGAGAATCAAACATAATTTCATGGTTGTGAAGGGCATCTTTAGTACAGACATCAGGAAGTAATTATTTACTGTAGATAACTGGAAAAGGATGCCAAAATCGTTGCAGTCAGAAGTTATTAACAAATGATTAGATGGAAGGTTTAGATCAAATAATTTGAAGGGGACCTTCACCTTGTGCAGTTTGTTTCATTCTAAACATGTCTGAATGCAGCACAAAAGTTCTTTATTTTGATAAATGGTATAACTGAAGGCATTATTGCTAAGTTTGCAGATGACACAAAGATAGTTGGAGGGAGGGTAGTGTTGAGGAAGCGGGGAGGCTGCAGAAGGACTAGGCAGGCTAGGAGAGTGGGCAGATAAGTGGCAGATGGAATACAGTGTGGGAAAGTGTGAGGTTATTCGTCTTGCTAGGAAGAATACAGGCATAGACTATTTTCAAAATGGGGAAAGGCTTCAGAAATCTGGAGTACAAAGGGAGTTTGGAGTTCTAGTTGAGGATTCTCTTAAGGTTAACATGCAGGTTTAGTTGGCAGTTAGGAAGGCAAATGCAATGTTAGCATTCATTTCAAGAGGGCCAGAATACAAGAGCAGGGATGTACTGCTGAGACGGTATGAAGATTTGTTCAGACTGCATTTGGAATATTGTGAACAGTGTTGGGCCCCATATTTAAGAAAGGAAGTGCTGGCCTTGGAGGGGGTCAGAGGAATTTAATAAGATTGATCCTGGGATGAAGAGCTTGTCATTTGAGAGGTGTTTGAGGGTACTGTACTTGATGGAGTTTAGAACGATGAGGCAGCGTCTGATTGAAACTTACTGAATACTTAGAGACTTGGATAAAGTGAACATAGAGAAGGTGTTTCCACGAGTAGAAGAGACTAAGATCCGAGGACACAGCCTCAGAGTTAAGGGATTACCCTTTAGAACTGAGGAAGAATTTCTTTAGTCAGAGGGTGGTGAGTCCGTGGAACTCATTGCCGCAGAAGGCTGTGGAGGCCAAGTTATTGAGTGTGTTTAAGACAGAGGTAGATAGATTCTTGATTTGTAAGGGGATCAAGGGTTATTGGGAGAAGGCAGGAAAATGGCGTTGAGAAACATATCAGCCATGATCAAATGGCGGAGTAGTTTCAATTGGCTGAATGGCCTAATTCTACTCCCATTCCTGTTTGTCTGCTGGTATCCTGACACTCTTTCAATTCAACCACCAATGGGGACTGATTGTATAGTGGGATAAGTACTATTATCTGAGCTGAGAGCCAGCCTAGACTGAATCTAGTGTTCCTACAAAAGGCGAGTTAGTCAAACCTAAAATAGTGCAATACTAAACAATTTGGTAATTTATAATGTTTTTTTAAATGTATATTATGCGCTCTTTATTTGGACGTCACCATTCTGTGACAAAATCGTCCCTGCACCTGCACGCTTCTATCACGAGGGATATAAAGCAGGGATTCTTTTTCTATTTAGACCTGTGCTATCACTAATGCACCCCAAGGGGAATTCACCTTGTCTTGACTTGCAAAGGGCGCAGCTGGGGAGATGAATTGCTTCTCAATAACGTGAAGGCGACAAATGATTGGTTCTTGAAATGGATTTTTAAAAAAAAACACATGGATGTATTTGAGGGTCTACTGACAGGTTATTGCTGAGATTCATTGATTGAAAATGTAAGATTTTAAAGAACAAGCAATGTTTGATTCTGATATTGAAGTTCAAAATGTAAGCTATTTGTTTCTGTAGAAAATGTAAACACTTTGTGTGGGAGGGGAATGGTCTTTGACAGGAGTGCTAAATGTGAAAAAGCAAACCAATGTCCCACTTTACACAAAAACAGAAATTGCAGGAAAACCTCAGTACGTGTGGAGAGAAATCAGAGGGTTACACTCTGCCCAGTGGTCCTTTCAAGGAAATCAGTTTGTGTGTAAAGTAGGTTGTTGATTCACCTTCAGTCATTTTGTGCTCGTGCTTCAGAGATTTCACACCCTCTTTATTTGTGATAGCTGCATTGAACATTTACCTTTTTGTTAGTTTTAATTGCTCCTGCCTTTACTTATAAAGCTTCTAGAGCAATTGAAATTTGCCCGCGCTCCAATCTATTATTCCAATGAGAATGAATTGTGTTCTTTTTCACATACATTCAAAAGTCTTAATCCTGAAACCATATTAATTCTATTACTACTGCTTCTCTTGTAATTTCAAAGAAGTAGACTGGTAATGTTATTGTTTATGCGCTTCACCAGTGCTTCACTGAGTGTCCATTTGCTTTCCTTGAATGTTTGTTTACCTTGTAGTTTCTCATAAATACGCAGTGTTCTGTTTGTTCGGGCAACTGTTCTTGTACAATGTGACAAAATGCTTAACTGGAATTTTTTTTTCTAATCTAACAAAGTGTCCTTTTATTTTGTAATTTCCCAAGTTTAGTTGCATTGGCACTTACTTTTTCAATGTGAAACAAAATTTGTCAAAATATTTAAGGCTTCAGGTGTTCAAATTTTGTCCCACCTCCTTAGTGAAGCGGATTAGAAAGAAGAAGAATATAATCTTCAAAGTTAGTCATTTTATTTGTAAGGCTTTCATTGAGATTATAAAGAAATATTGAGGCTCTAGTATCAACCTTTGGACACTGCTTTCCAAATAGGGCTATTTTAGTTGTTGCCCTTACACTTTACTTGCTATTTGGTAGCCAGTTTACCACTTCCTTATTTGGCCCCGAGGCTTTCATTGTAACCATGTTTCTCATGGGATGCTTCCTGAAAATCATGATATTGCAGCAATCCTATCCTCGTTGCAGCTATGCTATGGTTTTACACAATTTTGCTGAATTTGCTGCACGTGACCTGCTATTCATTGGTACAGATATCTCAACTTGTCTCGTGTCAGGATCGGGTTGTAAACATATTTTCCATAATCTGGTCCCTAGAGAAAATGTATTCAAATGGAAAATACTATCAACAATTAAAGTAAGAAAGAGGCAAGCATGAATGTTTTAAGCAACTTTAGAAGGCAAGTCTGTTTTGGGAGAATAAGCACTCCTACTATTCCATTCAGTCCAAACATTACTGTCATATTTTCTGTACTTAACAGAAAATATAATTTCTACATTTTAAAAAAAAAGTCAAATTATAGAATGGTTTGAACAGTCCACTCAATCTTTCCTAATTTCAGTTTTCTTTCTGGTGAGGTACAGATATTATCCTGGGTCTACCATGTCTCTGAACAATGGCACAGCCTGAGAACCAGGCATGGCAGAGAGATAGTAAGTGTTGCTGCAATTTCCTTAGATTGCTTATGTTAAAAATAGCTGAGGGTATAAGGAGAAACAGGCAGTTTTTCAATGTGGAACAAAATTTGTCAAAATATTTAAGCTTTCAGATATTCAAGTTTTGTCACATCTCCTTAGTGAGGTGGATTAGAAAGATATTGATATTTATTGAAATATGTCTTATTTCATGATTAAATAATGCGGAATTATAATGTTAACAGTTCCATCATGAATACTTACTTTAAAAAAAGACACACAATTCTTAATCAGTGAATAATTAGATTGGTATGGAAGGATGCTGACTAGTTTCACATATGTAATATTTCTTTATGGAACCATAAGCAACTTTTATTGAGCAACTTGGCTTGGGGCCAAGAAAATTACCAGTCCAATTTAAATTTTGCAAATCTTTTCTTTGGTTGAAACCTTTCTGAATTCGTTCCATAACTGTTTGAGAAGGAAAAGTGCTTGATCTAAGCAATAACATACATACTTAAGGATTATTGTACACTGCTTGTAACTGAGAACAAGTATAAATAATAAATTATTGCAGGACTGAAAGCCTAAGCAGTTGGCTAGTCATCTGTAGCATTTCTAACTTTTGAATGGTTAATGATCTTGATCTTTATTTTACAATTAGTTAACTTCAGTATATGAAACCTGAACTCTGCAGTTTGCAAGTGGGAATTCAGTTTGAAGATCAGATATCTGATTGATTGAATTACTCTACATAGACTGGATGGGCCAAATAATTCTATGATTTAATCATTGGGTGTTTAAGAAGAACATAAATAGGAACAAGGTTGGAGCATTCAGCCCCCCTCCATTCAGAATGAGTCTGAACTCCACTTTCCAGCCACTTCCTAAATTCCTTGATTTTCTTAAACATTTTTCAATGGAGGAGGAGAAAATGATTCCTTCCTTTGTATGCTGCCAGTTTTATGCCGTAGGTTGCTGGACTCAAGTTTGAGTACTTGGCAGAAGAAGAAATCATTATTTTTCCTTCAAAATTGCATCAGATATGGTGCAACCTATTGATTGCCCCACATCACACTCGTAAGTTCACAAGTCAAATTACTGTCCCAAACTTTACTTCCACCTGACTTTGAAATATTGAACCATATAACCTCCAGAATGACAGTTTGACCCCTGAAATGTTCAATGCTGATTTGACAACTGCTGCCAATCTCTGTTTGTAAAGCTCTGTTTCAAACTGTACAAAATACTTGATACCTTCCCTCAGTCCAAAAATAAATGGAATTGTCTTTTAATAGGATCTTTAGGTCCCAGATGTTTGCTCCTTTTATTTCAGTCATTTGTGGTGATGCAGCGATAATGATACTAACCTGGATTCTGCTTCCAATTTGACACCAGCATGAAACAGTAAAGTACCGATTTATGTGCCCTTCCTTCAATGTAGTCTACTGTATTCACTGCTCAGTGTAGACTCCTCTACTTGTGGAGACCAAACATCAATTGACTGTACGTTTTGTGGGACCCCTCCATTCAATATGCCAGCTGACCTGAAAATTCTGGTAGTTTTCTGACACAGTGCCCACCTTATTAAAGCAGTCAGCTGCTGTATTCTGAAATTTACAGGTGCAGGCAGCTTCTTTGACAGCTACAATCAAATGATAGGTATGGAAGCAAAGAATGATATTTAGGACGCTGAGAGAGTAGGGGGATAGGGTACCTACTCGGTAGGGTGATGGGGATTGGTTGCCAGGTGGGAAGGATACCAAGTGGGTGATGTAATGGTTAGAATAGGTTGAGGTGAATGGGAGAAACTAGGTCTCCTGGCAAGGGAGAGAGGTATCAGGTGCAGAACAGAGGAAGTGGGGGGGGAGCATGTTTAGAAGTAGTGGGACAAGGGTCAGGAGTGCAAAGGGGAAGGGGGTTTGGGGTGGTGGGGGGTGTGGGATCCCTGGTGGTGTCTGTTAAGGAACTAGGCACATAAGTGAACTGGTGGAGGTGTGTTTGGGAATATGTAATGTAAGCTCATCATTGAATCAAATGTGACACCAAGGTTGCAAACATCCTGATTCAGTGACTACTTTTTGCATGTGCTGGGTGCCTGAAATTATTCTTTTCTATTTTTGAGATCTTGGTTTCTGTATCTTGAAAGAGAATGCATGAATTACAATTATACAAAACGAAATAATCAACAAAATATCAATCAATTACAAGTCAGAGGAATTTGAAATCATTCTTTAAAACATTCCAGAAAGACATCTTGCATTCAGTGATTAGTTATTTAGAAATTAGAATTTCCTGGCTATAAATTCGGTCATGCTGGCTACTTTGAGATGTGGCTTCAGTTTTGGAAATCTTTGCATTACAAATATTTGACCTAAAACATATTGATATTTCATCTGTATCTATGATATCTTCTTTGTCCTATTTACAATGTAATTTTACCAGTAGACCTTGATATGTACATTGAAGATCACAAACCTTTTTAAAACTAATGTCGTTTTTCATGTCTAGATTTTACATATTTCAGTAAGTTGACCCTTTTGGACTAAATCTTTTTTAACTCTTAAAGATAATTGAATTAAGAACAACATTTCTTGTTCCATAAAAGAATAACTACAACCATTATATTTCTGGAGAATGTTAATTGACTAATTAGACCTTTGCTTTTGCTTTTTTAAAAAAAAATTGTTGTTTATTGTCACTGATGCATGTGCTCCTAGGCAATTTTGTCCAGTGAGTCCCAAATTGTTAACCGACTTAGGGGTCCAGTTCCCTGCACCAGGGTCAAGTGGATACCTTTACCATTGCTCTGGATTATGTTTATCAAACCCTAGACTCAATAATTCTTATCAGATGAAAGGAAACATGTATTAGTAGCTAAATAGCAATGGTATTACTACTGATACACAATAAATGGAAACAGAACTGCAACCCTACAATGAACAAATCAATAAATGCACAAAAATACATGGTACCAAATATAATACAGAATTAATAAGAAGAATGTTCACCACACAATGTTGTAAATTGACTAGGAATTTATCTAGCCTGCCACCATCTAGTGCAAAGCAGTGCATTTGATTGCAACCACATCCACCACTTTAGTTATAGTATGGCAGCAATGTGTAAAATTCAAGAGGTCCACTGCAGCACCTTGCCAAGGCTCCTTCAAACGTAACTCCCAAATCCATGAATTCTACTAAGTTGGAGGGCAAGGACAGTAAGAGAAGTACCTACAGATTACCTTCTCAAGTCACACCCATCCTGCCTTGAAACTATCTCCCTGTTCTCTCATTGGGTCAAAATTCTGGAAGTTCCTGTCTGACAGCGTTTAGGTGTATCTTCAGCACATGTTGCACTAGTTGATTAAGGCAGCCCACCATTACCTTCTCAAGAACAAGGAATGCTGACCTAGTCAGTATTGCCCACGTTCTGTGACTGAACCGAAAAAAAGTCGAGACAAAGAAAGAAGGGTCTTGGCCTGAAATGTCAGCCTTTTTGCTCCTATGATGCTGCTTGGCCTGCTGTGTTCATTCAGCTCTGCACCTTGTTGTCTCGGATTCTCCAGCATCTGCAGTTCCTACTATCTCTAGTACAGTAATAAATTGTCAATGCAAAACAAACAAAAGTTTTACTAATTACAACAGACAGAGCTCCACTTCCCCAGACCGGTATCTAATTCCTTGTGGGGACCCCATTTTCTCCAGCATCAGCCTGTAGTCCTCCAGCCAAACATAATTTGTTCATTTGAAATTCAGTATTTGGGCTTTATATCACCATGCAAGCTCATGAATCTATGTGGCCAAGCTCATGTCGAAAATGAGAGGGAAAAGAAAGAATAAAAAAATGTAAAAGGGAGAAAATGCACTGAGCAAAAGAAAAACAGATATAACTTGAGATACATGCATGTAAAGGAAAGTATGGGGGACATACAGAATGTTGGAAAGATAACAACAAGGAAGGGCTTACAGAAAGAGAGTCAGAGACTTGGATAAAACAGAAAAAGACATCAGAATGGGTTCTTTTCAGATTTAATCCTTCATGGGATGTGGGTATCGCCGACAAGCCCAACATTTGTTACCCATTTCTAATTGTCCCTGAATAGAGTGTCTTGCCAGCCTGTTTCGGAGAACAGTTTAGACCATATTGCTCTGGATCTGGAGTCCCGTGCCAGATTGTAGTATGTATTGTAGTTTTCTTTCCCTAAAGGGTATTAATGAACCAGAAGTATTTTTACAACAGTTGATAGTTTCACAATTACTACTACTGAAACTAGTTTTATGCTGCACATTTATTCATTGAATTTAAATTGATGGGATAGGAACCATGTCCCCAGACATTAATGTTGGCCTCCAATTACTAGTCTACTAGAACTAGTCCAGTGAAATTACCATTGTGCCACCATCTGTGTCTCATGGCACAAATGATGCAGATGGAAAGAGTGTAAAATGAGTAAAAAAAAAAGTGTCAAAGAATTAGAATGGGAGGTAAGCTATTTACAGAGGGAGAGAGAATTTAACTGATAGATACCTTCAGGGAAAAGAGAACCACTAGTGAAAATATTGTGTTTTACAAATTGAGCAGTGTTGATTAGTTTGACTGTCTGCTCTTTCAGGCTGCAGTATTGTAAAACCCTTCGCAGGCCTATGAGAAATTTGGCAACAAATTGGACAGTGCGCTGACTGGATAGAGCTGTGTGTCTGCTTTTTAAGAGCTGCTTTTATTTTTGAATTTCCAAGGAATTGGGAGTATTTGCAGCACTTTGTATCAATATAACACAATCTGTTCTGATTAGTTTCATAAAGTGAATTTGAGTTTTAATTCCCTAAATAATACACAGCTTGGACAAGGGCAGGAATACACAAACTAAATTTATTATCTTAGTGTAAGGTCCATTAATGAGTTTGACAGAAATTCACAGCAATTGCACATCAAATTCTGCCTTTGAAATATACACAACCTGAATTATGATGGATTGGGAGTTGTTTGTGTGAAATGTGACTGCCACTATATCA